AGCTCTCCGTCACTTCGACGATCAATTTAACAAGAACAAAACTCATACATTAGGAGGGGAACGAACCCGAGAATCCTGAAAGCTTCCGGATAAGTTTTGCGTCAAAAACGACGACCAGCGTAGTTGTCCCAAACAATAAATTGGCTAGCCAAGGACCTTGATCCTTGGTCGGGTGATTCCTATTAATTAGTAACCACAACCCGTGGTAGTGAACTAAGCTTACAAGAAAAACAGTATTATAATACATGTTTATTACGCGAATTAATTTAAGTTGGTTGATATTCACTTAATTCGTATTCTGAACCGACATGCACATCCGAACACAAACAGAGAACTTATCTGACGACCGCGCCTGCGCAAACTGATTCAAACGACTGAAGTTCGTTCTAATCAGTCGGATTGAAGAAATTGGCGGTAATCATAGATAAAAGTATCAGTATTGGCGGCAATATTACTTTCCTAGACAATATGTATTATTAGAATATGACGATATATATGATTATTCTGTCAATTCCAACATTACAACTTACTTAATTAGTACCATTAACAGAAATGAAAACCACAATTATGAAAAAAATAAATGTTGGCAAATGTAAAATATAAAAATGCAATAAAGCATGCATATTATTTAAGAAAATGTCCTTTGACAATATATTATACTAATTACAATTACATACCTTATCTAATTACATTTTTTATTTATTTAATTATTTTAAAGTTTTCTTTCAATAATCAATCATGTAATTAAATCAAATATGATATTTAATTTTACATAATTTAATAGGATTTACTCCTGATAAAAAATCATGGAATAATGCTTAATTAAAATATTTATAGGAATATACATTGTATGTATCATAATTTCACCAGTCTTTCACATTTTTTAATTTAAATAAACAAATTAAAAAAATCAACTTTTGCTCAATTGTGTTTTAAATAATTTATGATATACCATATAAATGGTGGACCGAAAAGATTGCTATTTGCTTATGTCATCTTGTTATAGATTACCTTGAGTTTCACGCACAAGTAATCTATAGTAATGAGACTTATCATCATATCTTAATCTTTTCGCAATTATATTCTATTTGAAAGTTAGCATTGAACGTACTTTGAATTTGCTAAAAATAAAAATTAAATTGCTAAAACCAAACATTATTGTGAAGTTCATTTTGTTATATTTTTTAGATAGAGTTCTTAATTAAGAATGTGCATATTCATAAAATAGATATGTTTGATCAAAAATAATATCACTTATTCAATAGTAAAAGATTGGATAATTAGCATGTTCATATTATATAATTGAAAATTTATATATATTGTGAATGTTTGGAGAAATATATAGTTTGCTCGTAACGTACGCATTAATATGCGTAAGCTTATTTAATGAGACTTGAAGTGAAATGTATTAATATGGCACAAAATTCGGTTCTGTACTGTCTATTAAATAATATTGAAGATATACACGCAATGGCGATTTACAAAAAATTGTTACAGCAATTTTTGTCTTTTATTAAATTATATATAAAATACATTTTTATTAACCAACATATTTAGTTTTTCGGTGCTATTAGAACATAGTGTACTAACTGTAAAAAAAAAGGTTCGAGATTTTTACAAACATGTATCGAGCACGCTTTCACAGTGTATTTGAAGTTAAATATTTTGCCAATTATTATTTATTATTTTAACATCGCGAATTATTTATCAATTTTGTCGGTTATGTAACCATTGTAAAACAATCTCTTAAGTGTATGTATGTTCGACGCAATTTTCTCAGAAAATACTATTACACAGTTTTTTACTGTCTTTATAGGCACATTTTGTAATAGAATAAAATCTACTGTATCATTTGCGTGAATCAATCTAGCTAAAACTGAAAAAATACTAAAATATTTTCAAAAAAATACTTTGAATCCATCCCAAAACTTTTACCAGCACTCAGTTCGATGAACATTTTAGGACTTTTGTTCCGAACAGTGCCACAACAAAAAATGCCGCAATAATTCTTAACCGTTGCTTTTCTCTTATTTAATTTTAGGTCAAAAATGCTGCTGAAAGTTTTCACAATCATTATTCTATGCGAGCTTGCTGCTTGTGATATTGATCAAAAATCAAAAAAATATACCTCAAAATATGATAACATAATTTAGATGAAGTTCTACATAACAAACGTTTGCTGGATGCTTATGTTAAATGTTTAATTAGTAAAGGACCATGCACAAATGATGCTGCAGAGTTGAAACGTAAGTTAAAACTATCTTTTGAGCTCCTTTGTAAAGAATTTTTATCATCTTTTCGAATGAAATGTTTATGTTTTTGCCAGAATATTTGATTGACCAATTTTATGTTTTCTCGACGTTTCAATTCATTGTGAATCGCTTGACGCCAAAATTGGAAAAGATACAGTGTAGTATACAGGGTGTCTCAAGCCTTGACGTCAAGCCGAAACGAGGTGATAGATTTGCCTGAAAAAAATTAGAATTTTTTTTTTCATGTTTAGAAATTACGATCTATTAAGTGGAACCTAGAGTTTTGTCGGAATTATGATCATTGTTTGGTTTTTAATTTTTATTTTTAATTTTGTTCATTTAAAAACTTTGAACCGTAACGTGAATAACATTCTAGAGCCACAAATAAAATATTAACACAATTGCCGCTGGTTTTCAAGAATAAAGACTTTCTGTTGAATTATGAATTATGAAAATGTTTAAAATCGGTCGATTTTGAGAGAGCCATCTTTAATAAAATGTACTATTAGTGTGCTGGCAAAATTCATCAAAAGTTGGCGCATTTAATCAGGATTGTAAAATGGTATAATACTTGAAAACTTTATTATTGAAAAAATTCAGTAAAAAATGAATACCTAAAAAATGACATTATTTTTGTTAGTACATTTTACTCACAATTAGTTCAAATGCTTGCCGTACGCGCAACCTTCAACATGCGAGCGAGAAATGTTTGAAATATTTTTTTAATTTTAATTTAATTCTGAAAATTATTTAGAATAGATATTTTAGAAAGTTTTATTGTTTAAATGTCAAAATAATATTTTTGTATAACTGCAAAGAAATCAATATGTTGACTAACAATAAGATTTTAAGGAAGGATACAAAATCGTTAGCATTGCCGAAAAAATACAAAATATTTCGTATCTTTACTATTGATTTCTATTTTCTGCTATTTACAATTGTTCATCTTGTTTTGAAATAAAACTTTAATTATTATAATAATAATACTTATTATAGGTACATTACCAGATGCTCTAGAAAATGATTGTGCGAGATGTACTGAAAAACAAAAGTCTGGATCTCAATACGTGACGCACTATTTGATCGATAATGAACCAGATATATGGCCCCTTTTAGAAGCTATTTATGATCCTTCTGGAAATTATAGAAAGGAATATCTCGCTAGCAAAAAATATAATGAAACCATTATGGATGAAAAATAGGAACACTTGAATTATAGCAAGAACTAGAAAAATTATGCACCTAAAATTAAAATAAAAAACAATAATAAATGTAAATAAAATATTGTAGTCATTTTTAATAATAATCTCCATTATCTATAAGTACTTGTATATAAGTACATAGTTCATATATAAAATTGTAGTTTATTTTAAAATTTCGTTTTGATATGGAATCAATATTTTTTAATGAATTGAGATACACCAGTATAGTTTCAGAAAATCTCTTTTATTAATTATGTTATACATGGAAGAAGTTAACCGGGTAAATAAACGCTTATATTAAAAACTTATCAAACACGCCACTTTGTATTATTACAGTTTCACAGTTTATATATAAAATTGTGGTTTATTTAATATTTCGTTTTGATATGGAATCAATATTTTTTATAAATTGAGATACACCAGTATAGTTTCAGAAAATCTCTTATTAATTATGTTATACATGAAAGTTAACCGGATAAATGTATGCTTAGTTTTGTGTCAACTAAAAATGAAATAAATATTACACAAATAAAAGTAAAAATTCAATTTTTTGCTGTAAAGTGATATTAACATTATAAAATATTATAGGCTTATAAAAAGTAGTTTAAATAAAAAAAATCATTAAAGTTTTGAGTTAGTACTCTTTAGTGTGCACTGTATACATATTCCGTGCTGTGTTTTGTACTTATCACTGTTGGTGATATAAAATATATTTCTTATGCTGTACGAGTGCCAAAGAAATGTACTACTGTCAATGACAGGTACTGTTTCTCCAGTTCGTGCATTTTTGAACCTGCCCTATATACAGAAAAAATGAACCTCTTCCGGAAGTTTTCACTTTAAAATGAGCAATATTTTTAACATGTTAAGAAAGAATCTAGGCCTAAATGTTTTATTTTATCAATAAAAAGATTTATTTTCATAAACATTTATATAAACTCTAATTCTCATTTACTTGATATTTCATTTTTATCTTTAAACCAATGCATCTAGTTATTTGAGTACAATGTAAGTGAGTAGGACACTTTTGTTGCATCTAAAGTTTTTGCTAATATAAAAGAAAATCCCATGTTAGAATAATAATTATATTCTTTGAAGGATACATTTCTTAAAGAAATAAATAAAAAAATATACTGTAGAAAATATGTTCATTAATAAATACTTATTTTTAGCTAATTTTAAGAAGTAATCAAATTCACAGTAGTATCACTTTTGTTCAGTCTGTATTAAAAATTATACAGTAAAATAATAAAAAAAAATAATAAAAAAAACATTAAAAACAAACATATACATATATATGCCAGTGAATTAATATTACCTTAAAATTAACAATGATTATACTTATGTGAATGCCAACTTTTTGTATGTACTTATCTTATCAATATGTCAAATTATGCTCTACCATTGTAAATGTAAACGTTTCATCCTCAATATTTTCTTTATATCGCCTCCGAATGCGACTTTCACATTCAGATTCACTGTCTGTGGCTCTGCGTTTCATATTTTATGGTGTGTTTCATACATATCTTCTTCAAAATTCTGTTCATTTTCATCATCATATTCAGATTCATTATAATCATCATCTGCGAATTCGTCATCTAATTCTATATCAGCAAAGTGATCCTTGAATTCATCTGCAGTTTCTAATGTCTCTTGTTCGACTAATTTGCCTATAATATTTTTTATTGCATTAAAAATTCAAGCATAAAAAGTAAAATATTGGTTCTTACAGCAAAATATATTTGTACAGTATCTAGCTTTTAAAAATGGCTAATTAATAGTGTTCATGTTTCTCAAATGCTCTTAATGTTAAAATATAAACATCGTGCATTATTAAAAAATCAAAAATGCAAGTCTCTAACAGCTAGTAAGTAATTTATACTGATGCATTTGCAGTTGCAAACTGCAAAAACGTGAAATAGTATTCACATAATTATAATTAAAAAGTGGAATTATATTTTAAGACATAAAAGTTGTTTCAATTTGGCATACCTCAATTTTAATAAATTGATATATCGTCGTAATAAGATCATAAGTGCTCCTAAAAATATGATATTAATAATATATTTTATATCTATTATTAGAAATTGCCATAAATTTAAAAAAAAGTCTATTAATGAATATTAGAAGATTTACAGTATTTCAAATTAGAAATATACCGGAAAATAATTTCAATTTTTATCGATTTCTTGTATAAATTAATCATATAGAAAAATCAATTACAGAAATGTTTTGATTATTGGATGCTAGTGAAAATTTCATAAAATATTGGAAATAGTAGAAAAACTTTTAGATGATTTCAATCACTGGAGGTGTCGGTTTATCAAAGTGTAGGATTTGCGAAATAATCTGAATATGCATATACATACATGCATAGATATATACATACAGTGTATGTTATTACACATGAAAAAATATTTATTTTTTCTCACCATTTAATGTAGGAAATATAATATCAGGCAATGGTAGATGTCTGCATTGTAAGTAGCTACAAGTTTCTTGATAAGCTTAGAAATATCCTCCCGCTTTCTAGTCACAACAATTGTTTCAAACCAGTTTTCTAATCCTCTGATTGGAATAGAAAAATCAGTGATAGGTACCTGGTGAAAATTAATACAAGTCAATGAAAAATACACACTAACAAAATATTTAAAGATTCTCCAATATGGTGTTCTTTATTAAGAAAGACATTTTATTTATTGAAAAATATATTATATTCATAATTATTAAATAATCTAGAAAATAATAGTTAGTATAGGTGGTCTAAAAACTATTATATTTAAAAAAGTAGTAATTGATCGAAAGAAGTTATACAGCCATAAATGCCTGAATATGTGATAAGAAATAGTCAAACAATTCCACCAAATTTCATTATTTGTTATGAAAAATTCAGTTCTAAATGATAAATACTCTACCAAAAATAAATTTTTAAATAATGTAATACCTTAAAAAAGTGCTCTACATATTGAAGTACAAATAAACCACAGTCTGTTAAATTATCTTGTTGCGGAACTTTCACACAATGCCCTTTAATAGAGTATTTATCAAAGTCAGTTGTTCCAAATTTTGACTGATGCTCACAGGATAAATAATCTCTTATTACAGAAATAGTACGTTGTCTTGATATTATTGCACCACCAGATAATGAATCAAATATCAATATGCATGGCCTGAAATAATAAATTTCTATATTACTATATTACATAACAATTTGAAATTCATACAAGATCATTATGTTTACATGGAGTCACATGATAAATGGTGTAT